GGGCGCTGGGCCCCGCCGCCTCCCGCGCGGGCTGGGAGCTCTCAGCCCCCACTTGACCCCCAGGGGGAAAGGACCGAAACCAAACTGCAATTTCGAGGTGGTAGCGAGAGGGGACTCGACCCAGACGTCGTGTGTTCCGAATGCATGCTTCTTCCCCCCGCCGCGCCAGGCTTGCTCACTGCCATTCGCTCCTGTCAAAACTGCATTTGTTGTATGACTTGGGAATCGGTGTAGTTACAGACTTGCGAAGGGACTTTGGAGTTGGCATTCCCTGGCCCCGTGTGCTCACTTTGGAAAAGACAACCATCCCTTTTGTGCAAAAACAGATGTAAATATTTCCTTCAGATGGGTGCAATTCTGATCGTCACTATCCTCTCCACAGTTGTTTTGTTTTCTAGAGACAATGGAGAGACAGAGAGAAAGAGAAAGACCCCAGTTTTGAATCTCACCTCCGGGCCAGGGCATGACATCTCTTATGTGGGTTTTCCTTACCACGCAGTGTAGGTCAAAACAATGCATGCACGCTTCTNATCAAAAGAATGCATGCACGCTTCTAAATGAATCTTGTCTAACCATGTTGTGCAGGCCGTGATGCCATTTTCCTTGTAACAAGGATTTTTTAGTGAATTCTCCCAAGTACTCTGTATATCTGTCTGTGGTTGTATGAAATGAAGACGGGGGCAGAGTGCAAAGACCCAAACTCACACACATGCGCTTCTCCCACCCTCGACCCCTTCCAGCTCCATTCCCAACCTTCCTCGGCTGTTCTGGGGGTGACTGCCAGAGCCTGGGCTCCTTCCACTAGCTTGTCCCACTCCCCCCTTGCTCAGTTATTCTGCATGCGGGGTTGGCTCTCTCTATCATCAGCTCTGAAAACTTATCGTGGTTTGGGGAGGGGTGCCATTTTTACTTTCCTGAACATTTGCTTGAAATATTTTATTAGGGCTTCAAAGACAATACCTGTCTTTATTTTTTATATATTCTTGATAACTATGATATATTTATTAATAACCAGTGTTTCTGGATGAGATTTCAAATAAAAAAGAACCTTTAAATCCTGGCTTTGCCTTGCCTAAAATTTTTGAAGATGGGGTAATGGGTAGGGAATGTGTGGACCCAGTAAGGTGTATCTGGGCCCCGGGTAAGAGATTTGATGGGTGGGCAGATGTGAAGAGTTTTTCTCTGGTCATTTACAGGGAAAGAGGTCAGATAAATTGGTGTTAATTATTACAACTAAATGTCCTTCGAATGGGGCATTGTCAGTGTTGGTAGTCTTGTGATATTTGAGCTCCTTGTTTCTCTGCAATCATCAGGCCCTCATAAACTCAGCAATTGAGATTTTTAAAAAAGTAATCTGGAAACCCAAAATGACAGGAAGTTAGAGGCGGAGTAGTGACTGTGGTGGCTCTGTTGGCAACAGAGGAGAATGAAGCAGTAAGTTAACTTCTTTTCACGTTAAATTGACCGTGCAGCCTTTAAAAAACACAGGTTAAAATTCAGTATATGTTTTAAAAGTCAACAAAGAGTGGTCCTAGAAAATAACCAAATACCCGGCCCCCTGCCTGCTCCCTGGGCAGCAGCCCCTCTGAGAAAAAGGAAGGCTGTTCTGCTTTGTAAGGTGAGCAGGGTGAGGCCAGTGGCCGCCCAAATCTTGCAGATTTATAGGGGTAATTCTCCCTTCTTTCCTCCCTTAGAAGATGGCAGCTCTTTAGTTGAATACAAACTATTTGCAAGAATTATGGGGTGAGGAGTGGGAAATGAAGAGAAAAGTCTACATTCATGATGACTGAAACAGGGGTCATTTAAATCAATTACTTCACTCTTTTCATCCCTCCATCCCGTAACAGTTCCAAATAGTGTATATAAGCAAAAGTAATCTAGCAAGAAGGTTTTGTTTGTTTACAGAGGACAAGAAATGAAGTTCCAGTGATGATAACCCCAACAGCACATGCCTCTATTTCCCACTAAGAAAAATAAAAAACCTGCTTGAAATATGCCACTGAAAACTTGCCTCTGGGTTACATGTAACATCGTCTCCTTGGTGCCAAGGCCTAAGCTCCTCTTCAAGAGGGGCAGGCCTGAGGTGGCCTCCCCAGGGCCATAGAGCCGTCTCTCTCCAGAACCCAACATGACAGCACATCTAAGAAGCACCTGCCTTTTCCTTCCCAGGTCCCCCACTGCCTGTCTAGTGCTGCCCCTCCCTGGGAGGGCATCTCTGTGGGTCCTGGTTCTATTTAATTCAATTCTTCTCCATATCTTTTTACCCCCAGGCCTCCCACTGCCAGGGAGAAAGACCAAAGTGAAGGTCTACAGTGGAGGGTGCTTATTTCCTCTGGTTTTTGGCAGACAAATGGGGGAATAATCATTTGTTTCCCAAAGGTGATTCATTTATCTGGGCGAGCAAAGAGCTTTTGAGGATTTATTTGAAACCAACACAAGGCAGCCCTCCAGCCTTTCCCTGTGAGTTTATTATTTAGTGAGGACAGAGAAGTTTCATCAATCAGGTAAACGACTTTCCCCTAAGCCACTTGCTTCTTTGAGTCCTGTTTCCAAAGACCTGGTCTTGGGAATAGACTGGAGGCCTGACCACTGGCTTGGTAGTGGGTTTTACCCCATCGCTAGAGCTGGAGCTTAAATTGGGAGCTGGAAGGAGTAAGGCCACATTCCTTACCCCAGGGCAATGCTGACTTTGGGGTTGTGCTGCTGGGAAAAGAATCCTTTAAGTTATCTCCAGTGGTCCATTTAAAGAGCTGTGAGTTCTGCAGAGTGTCAGAATGTTAAAAAGAACCTCAAGACCAGGGCACTCTGGATGCTCAGAAGTGGGAGATGAGGCCCTGTTTTCCAACTCTGAGGAGGTCTCCTAAAGGGGCTGAGCTCTTTTCTGGGTCACAAAACTATTTTTCTAGAGGCTGGGAGGAAAGATTAGAACAGAGCAGGGACTCAAGAAGGAGGGCCATTTGGAAGCCAGGTCTTCCGGAGTTTCTTGATTTATTGGGTAGACACAGTCACCGCTGGCCTTCCCAGGTAGGGCCCCCTGCCTTGGGAGCTGGTAAGCTGGGGGTGTGACTTTGCCGGCGACTATTACTTGCTTTTCCCCTTAAATTCTCAAATGACTGATGATGCCAGACACAAGATCACATGGCCACGAAACAGGAAAGTGAGAATGGTATTTGGGCGGATGTGTGTGTGGTGAATTTGTCACTTTCTGAAGTTTAAAAGTTTTTAATTCCATCTAGAAACAGGGCAACGATGCCTTCATTTCAAAACAAACGTTGCTTGATAGTTGAAAGGGCAGCGAAAGCCTCTTGGGCGGCGCTGTCTCCAGAAGCCTACCTTGAAACCTCTGTGGCGTTTAAGCCGGTGACCCAACTTTAAGAGGGGGGAGAAAGGCACACTTAGAAAGGGAAGGCAGGCCGCTAGACCTTCCTCTTAGAGACCCCCCCCCCC